TCGTATCAGGTACGTGTAGGGGGCTCTCAAGCAGCGGGACTGGGAGATTCCAGTCCTGGTCATCGTCGTCAGTGAAATCGTTGCGCATGCTGAACGGATTGTTGTTCGAGAACGCTTCGATTGGCTGGCGTGCTGGCTCGGGTGATGATGAGCGCGCACGGGGACGACAGGATCCGCTTTTCATTGTGATGTTGCCCATGACGTTGCGGACGGGCGCTGTCGGTGGTTGCTGCTGCTGATGCTGAATCGTTGGATTCAGGTTGCGCGGTGGGGGTTGATGCCCCTAGGCTGGACGCGTGTCATTCCGTGCGTCTTGTGGGCCGGACCAGTTGCTCGGATTGGTCTGAGGAGGGCGAGATCGGTATTTGCATCGATCTGCCAGGTGCCCAAAATTTCTACAAATCTTGCAGTAAAGGCGCCGCGGCCGTCGCTCCTCCGTGTTGTCGGCGTAGAAGGCGAGGCGTTCCCTGTCTCGTCGCGGCGCTGGTCGCTGCTGGTCCATATCCCGTTGTTCGACGAGAAGGGCGGCGCATAGGGCGGCCTCCGAGATGACCCCCTGCTGTCGGAGAAGCACCTTGCAGGGCCGCCACTCTGGGCCGAGCCCTTGAAGCACGATGTTCACAAAAATCTCCTCTCGGATTGTGCTTCCCAGTTTCGCGATTTGATCGCGTAAGCTCCGACAGCGGTTGATGTAGCTATTGACCTTCTCCCCTAAGGCCATCTTTGTCTCCAGTAGCTGCTGGAGCAGGCGGCTCGATGAAACCGAATCTTTCGGTTGGTACACGCCGTTCAGGTGGCGCCAAGCATCGAGGGCTGGAGCAGGAGTCGTCTTGTAAGAGCGAATGCTCAACTGCTCCGCCGGCGACATATTTCGCAGAAGGACTCCGTACGCCATCAGGGACCCGTTGTAGTACATTTCCTTGGCGTCGTCGGTGTCTTCGGAAGGTCCCGAGTAGCTCCCGTCGAAATAGTGGAAAATCTGCGCGTTTTGCAGCAGCAGCTCCAGTTCGAAGCTCCACGTATAGAAGTCTCTGCCGTCAACGCATACACTTGTCTTTATTTTTGATATACTCAAAAACCTTGATTGCGCAGAGAGAATTGCTTCTTCGCTGGGACGGGGAGTTTTGGGAGTTGAGCCATTAGTGTCGAGGGAGAAGGTATGCGGGGCGGTATTGTGGCCGTTCGAGGCGGGTTGATAGGGTTGGGAAGACATTCCCGCGTCGCCGTTCCGCAATGTTTGGAGTTGTTGCTCCAGGCTAGTGAGTCGCTGAAGCATCTGTGCGAGGGCGGCGGTTCCAATAGTCGTCGTTTCCTCGCTTGTCGCAGCCGGGTTGGTATGCGCTTCAGCCGTCAGATTCGTCTGACCACCAGATCCTCCGGCCATTCTCACGCGTGAGCGTGTGCCGGACGCCACTTTCCGTTCGCCGAAGATTTCGGTGGTGGCGGTGCGAAGGATTCCTGAGTCGCTCTCATACCATGTTGCGATGAGAAGTTGATCGTGCCTAGGATCACCTCAGGAAGGTTCGCACACGTTTGAGTAGTGGTGGTGGGCCCTTGACCTCAATAGCAGAGTGAATATAAAATGCTTGACATGATTTAAAACATGCAAGTACAAGGGTATAAATAAGAGTACAGCAATGAATACGAATCGACCTAGCTAGCCATGTTCTCTAAGGGGTACATTCCCTTATTGCAACGAAACCCAATCGTGCGACTCCAGACGGTTACAAACTCCCTGGGCAGAATCCTCGCCACTTCTGCTGCCTGATGCTGTCTGCCCGACGGTCCAGATGCCTTCGTAACCGTACGACCCTTCGCGTCACTTCCGTCCTTTCGTCTTCATTCTCGGTAGTGCGTGCTTCGATTGCTGCGGTAAGGAGTGCACAGTGATGCTTCAATAATTACTATTCGTAACATAACACGAAAGGACCTAGCTAGCCATGTACTCTGAGGGGGTATATTCTTATTTGGGCTAATCTAGATCGGGAATGCCAACCGTACGGTTCGGTAACAATACACGCCTCGGTAACTGTTTGAATGCATTTCCCGCACTTGCACTTCGAATTCTTTCTGCCTTCAACCGTCTTCGATAACTGTTTGTGTCGCTTAGTCTTCATCATCGATTCAGTCATCTTCTTGTTAGAGTTTCGTTACAACAGGAATGTTATGCAACAATTCCATATCGTAACATAGATGAAGAAAACCTTAAATTTACAGCATGAACCATTACAGTACAAGCTCCTGTTTGCAAGACTTGGTACAAAAGTTGTACTTTTAAGAAAGGTGGGAGTGTGTTCTTAATGCCATGTATATGTCAGAAGAAGCTGTTCTTGCGCTGTAGCTATAAGAGGTTATTGCTTCTCGCGAAAGGATATTTTCGTTCAGATTTGTCGCACCAGTTTCCCGAAACCTCTGGGCATGTCGAAATCGCTGCATAGTGGAGCGAAAACAAATCAGCCGCTGATATTGCGGTTGTTCCCTACGCCCCAAAATCCTCGTTAGCCAATCCGATGTCGCTGAGTGGAAAGTTGGGGATAAGGCGAGCAACTCCAGGGTTCAATCAGAGGGGACCAGAGTCCAACGTACTCGTGCCTGCATCGTCCATCCAAAAGATAGTGGACTGCCTCCCTCCAGTTTGACGCCTGGTAGCAGTCTCCTTTTCGATCTCTTCAGCTCAACTCAGCTACCTCGTCCACTTCCACACAGCTCAATGGCTGCCCTCGCCTCCTCCCTCAGCTCCGTTGCTGCCGCAGCACCCCTGAAGGTGGCTGTCAGCAGCAAGGTCTCTACCTCCCGTGTTGTGAGGTTGACCGTCCGTGCCGAGGAGAAGGCCGCTGCCGCTGCTCCTATCGGCCCCAAGCGCGGTTCCACCGTGAAGGTCCTCAGGCCCGAGTCGTACTGGTTCAATGACACCGGCAAGGTCGTTTCCGTTGACCAGGTGAGCGGACGTTACTTTCTGTCGATTTAGGTAGAGTTGCTTCGGTCGGATTGCCTTGGCATAGTTTGTGTCCTCCCGAACTTTCTCACTTACCTCTCCCAATCTTTTGTGCAATGCAGAGCGGCATCCGCTACCCCGTCGTCGTGAGATTCGAGAAGGTGAACTACGCCGGCGTGTCCACAAACAACTTCTCTGTGGACGAGGTCGTTGAGCTCTAAATGTACAGCGGCTAGTGCTTGTCTACTCTGTATGGCCTTTTGAGTAATTGAGCTGCCTTCACACTTCCCGTTTTGTTTAGGTGGTACTATTGTTAAAGATATACACGGGAAACTGATCTGCATTTATTCGTTTCTCTTCGATGGCCAAAAAATAGAAGAACGATATGGGAAGAGTATTGCGTGGCCTTAGTAGCAAAATATAATAGGTCAAACCGTAGTTAGACTTTCAACGTCATTCACTGGGTCCCTGTAAACTCCAACCTGAACTTCAGAGTATCTACGTCGTCTTTCCAACTATAGGCAACTGGTGATGCTGATCGCACCACTAGTGCCACCATCAACCAGCTCTTGGTATGGGGAGAATCAGCATTTGACCGCCATAGCAAGCTAAGGAACCCGATATGAGCTTGAGGCATAGACGTGCAGGAAATAATATTTACATTGATAAGCACAGCAGTTGCAAATTATAATGTTGAACATTCAGGGTAATGGGTTTTGAAGACAGTCATCAACTACCCTCCTAAACAGCCCTCTAACCTCTGCCAGATCCTCCTCCACCCCGTTCAACTCTGCTGCCATCTCCCTGGCTACTGCTTCGTTCTCAGCATTCAGCTCTGCTATTCTTTGAAGTTGCTCCTCTTCTGTCAAGTCAATGTCAGGAGGTAACGCATCCACAAGCATGTCAAACAGCTTCAACGCCTGAACCAAGGCTGATGCCATCTCAGGAACCTGCTCTATCACAGGGACTGCTGGTGCCGCAGCGACCAATGCGTCAGTTCCTGCTGCGGCGGTTCCTTCTGCTCCAGGCCCAACGGCACCGTTAGGGGTTGCGGCTCCGTTAACTGCTGCGCCTGGCCCGGTTAAACCAGCAGCGGCACCTGTGTTCCCTGGCCCAGTGGCTGTAACTGGCTGACCGATTCCAGGTGCAGCTGGTGTGGTTGGCGCGGGAAGAGGTTTGCCAGGAATGGTTGACGGAGTGGCGTCTCGTTGAAGCGTGCCGACGGTGTTGAAAAGGAGGAAGGCGATGTGGTTGGTGTGATCTTGGAGCTGTGATACTATGTCCATGGCGATTCTAAGAGCCGATGTAAGAAGAAAGTATCCTGTGATAGACGTTACGCTATCTATAAAGCAGGATCCAACGTGGTAGATGCGACGCACAGGCCGTAAGAGACGATCACGAACGGCAGCGTAATTAATCTCCACGCAACCTTGCTGCCGTCATGCCTGCCAAGCCGCAAAAGCTCTCGAAGTTTTGCTGGGCTGGTGTGGAACTTCAGCACGCATCAGAGCAGAGTGTAGCGATGAACGGGAAACCGGGTCAAGAATTAGGGAACTGTAGGATAGAGATAACATTGGGGAACATTTCAGCGGGGACACCAACTTGCTTTGTAGGAGCTTACGTGGCGGCACTTTCGGCTTCTAATTCCCTTCAGTCACACCTCATCCACAATAGCTCCGCTGTGAGCAAAATATGTGAGGCAAATGCTACAAGTTCAAGTGATTTGTGATTGTATAAACGCATAAAAACCCCCACGTGGTTTTAGGAAGTGGGCTGGCTTTGATTGAATTCATGTAGGTTTTGTTAGGTGTGGTGCGTTTGGTAATACGCGAGAACCGTTTAAAATCGAGAGGAACCCAACTGAACCGGAGGAGACGAACAGAAAACGAACTCGCATCTCATTCACATCCTGCCCATTCAATTCTCAGAAACCACTTCGAGGACGCGATCCTCCTAAACACTTCGTTCTCTAGGCGAATCGCCACCGTTGATTCCACCTGCGACACGGTCATAACACTCTCCTTTACCGTGCCGCGCGATCAACCTAACACAACAGCACCTCACGATGGCGGCTGCAGTCGCTGAGAACGTCGCCGTTAGCTGCCGGCAGCTAGCCGGGAACGAAACGGTTGAGTCAAATGGTTGGAAAACCGTCGCCCTCCAGACGCGGTACGACCAGCTGCTCGAGCTAGACGACCGTTGCATATCCCGATTTTTTGTCATTAAATGGGAATTGACTGGGTGATGAATGAATTTCCAGTCCTCCGTGTTCCGTGTGTCGATCTCAGCTTCCTCTCGCGCGGTCAGCGGAAGGCTTTTGAGACGTTTCAAAAGATGACTGATGATCCAATCCTGCATGTTGTGTTTCCCTGTGTTTCCATGTGTCTGCGTGTGGTTCCGTGCGTTTCCGTGTGTTGTCGTGTGTCGATCTCAGCTTCCTCTCCCGTGGTCAGCGGAAGGAGCTCGCAGCGCTGCGCGTGCAGCTCAGGAAATCCGCAGCTCGCTCTGGTACGTGTAATCTACAGGTCCTCTGGTGAGTGCAGCTTTCAGCTCTGAGACGTCTCAAAAGGAAATCCGCAGCTCGCTCTGGTACGTGTAATTCACAGGTCCTCTGGTGAGTGCAACCTTCAGCTCTCTTTAAAAAATGTGAGTTTTGGTCCCTTTGGCGTTGCGAGGTGCAGGACTTGACGGCATTGCAACTTCCAGGTGTTTTGCGGTGCAAGTCCAAGTCTTTATCGCCCAGTCTGCCTTGAGTGCCCTGTGTTCGTCATGTGGATCACAGTAACCTCGAGGTTTCGGTCACCAGGTGTTACCAGATAACTTATATTTCATCAATTTCGCGAGGGGGCGAAACCAGCATGCAGCGTTCGCTAAAAGAATTGCCATTTAAATGCATGCTTTTCCTCCCACCACCTGTCTGGTTTTCCCAGCAGTGATCGCTGCAACAGCCGCCCGTGAGCCAGTGGCAGCGGCAGCGCACACGGCAGCGGCGGTGGAGAGCGTTTCTTCTCAGAATGCATGCTTCCCCCTTCCCCCACCTGTTCTCCCCTCCAGTGGTCACAGCAGCAGCAGCAGCAGCAGCAGCAGTAGCAGGGGCTCGCCCCTCAGTAGCAGCGGCAGCGCACACGGCAGCGGCGATAGAGAGCGTCTCTTCTCAGAATACATGCTTCGTCCTTCCCCCGCCTGTTCTCCCCTCCAATGATGGCAGCAGCAGCATCGTCTCGCCCCCCGGTGGCAGCAGCGGCGCACACGGCAGAGGCGGTGGAGAGCTTGAAGCTGGAGCCAGATTTCCAGCCTTCACTGCATACCCTCTCAGGCTCTCATTTCAAGTCCTTTTCTCATCTCCGCATGCCCTTTCCCTAATTCCCTCCAGTGGTGGCATCAGCAGCAGCGCGCCCCCCGGTGGCAGCAGCAGCACACACGGTAGAGGCGGTGGAGAGCTTGAAGCTGGAGCCCATCGCTCAGATCAGCGGCACCGTCAACCTGCCCGGCTCCAAGTCCCTCTCCAACCGCCTTCTGCTGCTTGCTGCTCTTGCCAAGGTACTGCCTTGCCTATGATGGCTCCCCACCCACGTTCCTTGCGAGCGCCAAGGTGGGTTAGAGGGCTGGCCGCCTCCTTTCCTTGCATCGTACAAGTCGAATCAGCGGCGCCGTCAACCTGCCCGGCTCCAAGTCCCTCTCCAACCGCCTGCTGCTGCTCGCCGCTCTTGCCAAGGTATGTTAGAAGCATGTCCCCTCCTTTCCTTGTGTTCCGTGAGTTGAATCAGCGGCGCCGTCAGCCTGCCCGGCTCCAAGTCCCTCACCGCCTCCTGCTGCTTGCTGCTCTTGCCAAGGTACTGCCTTGCCTATGATGGCTCCCCACCCACGTTCCTTGCGAACGCCAAGGTGGGTTAGAGGGCTGGCCGCCTCCTTTCCTTGCGTCGTACAAGTCGAATCAGCGGCGCCGTCAACCTGCCCGGCTCCAAGTCCCTCTCCAACCGCCTGCTGCTGCTCGCTGCTCTTGCCATGGTATGTTAGAAGCATGTCCCCTCCTTTCCTTGTGTTCCGTGAGTTGAATCAGCGGCGCCGTCAACCTGCCCGGCTCCAAGTCCCTCTCCAACCGCCTCCTGCTGCTTGCTGCTCTTGCCAAGGTACTGCCTTGCCTATGATGGCTCCCCACCCACGTTCCTTGCGAGCGCCAAGGTGGGTTAGAGGGCTGGCCGCCTCCTTTCCTTGCATCGTACAAGTCGGATCAGCGGCGCCGTCAACCGGCCCGGCTCTAAGTCCCTCTCCAACCGCCTGCTGCTGCTCGCTGCTCTTGCCATGGTAAGGTAGCAAAAGGGTGACCTTACCAAGGTCCAGAGGAAGTCTGTCTCCCCCTGTTCAGTCTCCTTGCTTCCTTCGATTCGACTCCAAGGCACCGTCAACCTGCCCGGCTCCAAGTCCCTCTCCAACCGCCTGCTGCTGCTCGCCACCCTGCCCTGGCCATTGTATGTTAGAAGGCTGCCTCGTGCTTTCCTTGCGTTCTGTGAGTCGGATGAAAAGCACCAGCAGTCAACCAACCTGCCTGCTCCAAATCCCTCTCCCTCCCATCTCCCCTCTATCTACCCCCCACCTACCGTCCCCCCCGCCTGCCCCCCCACCCCCTTCTCTTCTCAGGGCGAGACGGTGGTGGACAATCTGCTCGCCAGCGACGACGTCACCTACATGCTCGCCCGCTGCTCTGCGCTCCCTGGGACTCTGTAGGAGATGAGATGTTGTATTGCACTCACGTCCCTTGCCCCCCCACCCCTCCCCTCCCCCCAGGGCGAGACGGTGGTGGACAATCTGCTCGCCAGCGACGACGTCACCTACATGCTCGCCGCCCTGCGCTCCCTGGGAGTGCCTCTGGTGGAGATGAGTCACACACCCACCTCTCCCCTTCCCGTGGTACATGTCCCCTCCCCTCATACCCAGGGCGAGACGGTGGTGGACAATCTGCTAGCCAGTGATGACGTCACCTACATGCTCGCCGCTCTCCGCTCCCTGGGAGTGCCTCTGGTGGAGATGCCTGAGAAGCGGAGGGTGATAGTCACGGGCAGCGCAGGGGTGTTCCCCGTGGGCAGGGAGGAGGAGGGGAAGGGGGGAGATGTGGTGGATCTGTTTCTGGGGAACGCGGGCACGGCCATGCGCCCGCTCACTGCTGCTGTGGCCGTTGCAGGAGGGAATAAGAGGTACGCTTTATGGTTCTTGACACTCAACAGAAGGTACCTCTGGTTTGGGGGTGCCCCTGGGAAGTGCCCCTGGGAGTGCCTCTGGTGGAGATGCCGGAGAAGCGGAGGGTGGTAGTCACGGGCAGCGCAGGGGTGTTCCCCGTGGGCAGGGAGGCGGAGGGGGAGGGGGCGGAGGGGGGAAAAGAGGGCGCGGAAACGGTGGATCTGTTTCTGGGGAACGCGGGGACGGCCATGCGCCCGCTCACTGCTGCTGTTGCCGTAGCTGGGGGCAACAAGAGGTACGTCTTTGGGGAAACAAGAGGTACGCCCATTTGCTATGCTCTGCGCTCCCTGGGAGTGCCTCTGGTGGAGGAGATGCCTGAGAAGCGGAGGGTGATAGTCACGGGCAGCGCAGGGGTGTTCCCCGTGGGCAGAGAAGAGGAGGGAGAGGGGGCGGAAACGGTGGATCTGTTTCTGGGGAACGCGGGCACGGCCATGCGCCCGCTCACTGCTGCTGTGGCCGTTGCAGGAGGGAACAAGAGGTAAGACCTTTAGGGGGGAAGAGGGGAAAGAGGGGGAAGAGGGGGAAGTGGTGGATCTGTTTCTGGGGAACGCAGGGATCGCCATGCGCCCGCTCACTGCTGCTGTTGCCGTGGCTGGCGGGAACAAAAGGTACGCTTTCTAACAGGAGGGGCAGGGCACGGAAGTGGATGATTTGTTTCTGGGGAATGCGGGGACGGCCATGCGACGGCTCACTGCTGCCATGGCCGTGGCTGGGGGCAACAAGAGGTGCGTTTTTGGAAGGGAGAAGAGGTAGAGCTGGGCCGTGCCCCCCCCCATTACTTGAGGGCGCTTCTGGTAGAGATGCCACTCCACTCCCCGCTCTTACCCACCAGCTATGTGGTGGACGGGGTCCTCGATATGCGTGAGTGAGTGAGCGCCCCTCCGGGGACCTTGCAGGTGAGTGACTGGGGCTATAAGTCTCTCTGTACCCCCATCACCGCACCCCACTCCTTCCTCACCACTCTGCATCCCTCTCCGCCCACCAGCTATGTGTTGGACGGGGTTCCCAGGATGCACGAGCGACCCATAGGCGACCTGGTGGCAGGGCTGCAGCAGCTGGGGTGTCACTGCGAGTGCTCCCTCGGGACCAATAACCTTCCCTTATCTCTCCCAACTCCGTGTCACCGCTCTGCACCCCACCTTACCCACAGCTACGTGCTTGACGGGGTTCTCAGGATGCGGGAGCGACCCATAGGCGACCTGGTGGCGGGGCTGCAGCAGCTGGGGTGTCACTGCGAGTGCTCCCTGGGGACCAATAAGCTTTCCTTATCTCTCCCAACTCCCTGTCACCGCTCTGCACCCGGCTCTTACCCACAGCTACGTCCTTGATGGGGTTCCCAGGATGCGTGAGCGACCCATAGGCGACCTGGTGGCGGGGCTGCAGCAGCTGGGGTGCGACTGCGAGTGCTCCCTGGGGACCAACTGCCCGCCTGTGCGCGTGGCCGCGAAGGGGGGCCTTCCTGGCGGCACGGTAAGTTACTGGGATCTAGTAGTGATGAGGCCTAGGTATGGGTGAATTGGCAGCACTGCAGCAGCAGCAGCAGCAGCAGCAGCAGCAGCAGCAGCAGCAGCAGCAGCAGCAGCAGCAGCAGCAGCAGCAGCAGCAGCAGCAGCAGCAGCAGCAGCAGCAGCAGCAGCAGCAGCAGCAGCAGCAGCAGCAGCAGCAGCAGCAGCAGCAGCTGGGATGCGACTGCGAGTGCTCCCTGGGCACCAACTGCCCGCCCGTGCGCGTGGCGGCCAAGGGAGGGTTCCCTGGCAGCACTGTGAGTGCCTACATAGAGAGGGCTGTGGGTGGCGCCGCTGATTGATGTGTAGCGGCTAACGAAATGTGTGTGTGTGTGTGTGTGTGTGTGTGTGTGTGTGTGTGTGTGTGTGTGTGTGTGTGTGTGTGTGTGTGTGTGTGTGTGTGTGTGTGACTGCGAGTGTGAGTGGGGTGTCACTGTGAGTGCCTCCAGAGAGATGGCCGTGGGTTAGAGATGGAGGTGTGGCGGCTACCGCAGTGTGTTTGGGCTGGTGTGATGTAAGCACCTAGGGAGGGGTGTGGGTGGGACAGTAGCTGTAGCTGTGGCTATAACAGCTAGCTCAGAAGCCGTGGGCTGCTCACTGCACTTGCAATAGCAGCAGCAGCAGCAGCAGCAGCAGCAGCAGCAGCAGCAGCAGCAGCAGCAGCAGCAGCTGGGGTGTGAGTGCGAGTGCTCCCTGGGCACCAACTGCCCGCCTGTGCGCGTGGCGGCCAAGGGGGGGCTTCCTGGCCCGTACAAAGCACTGCTGCAGCAGCAGCTGGGGTGTGACTGCGAGTGTTCCCTGGGCGGAGATGATTCCCTCTCTCTCTGCAACTCCCCACTTCCTCGCACCCTCCCCCGTCCGTTCCCATTCCTTTACCCTTCTCCCACCCACTCAACACCCCCTCCCCCCCCCCAGGTGAAGCTGTCAGGGGCAGTGAGCAGCCAGTACCTCACGGCCCTCCTCATGTCGCTCCCCTTGATGAAAGGAGACAGCTGCACTGAGATGATCCACAAGCTGGTGTCTGTCGGTGCCCTATGTGGAAATGACTCTCTCTCTTCCTGCTCTGCACTCCCCTTACCTTCTTCCTCACACCCTTCCTCTCCCTCCCCCATCCTTCCGCATTCCCTCCCCCCTCCCCCCCCCCCCACCGTCGCCCCCCTCCCCCAGGTGAAGCTGTCAGGGGCAGTGAGCAGCCAGTACCTCACGGCCCTCCTCATGTCGCTCCCCTTGGTGAAAGGAGACAGCTGCACTGAGATGATCCACAAGCTGGTGTCTGTCGGTGCCCTATGTGGAAATGACCCCTTCTCTTCCTGCTGCCTCATGCCCCTTTACCCACGCCCCAACCCTCCCCTACCTTCTCCCCCACTCCTCCCCCCTCCCCCAGGTGAAGCTGTCAGGGGCAGTGAGCAGCCAGTACCTCACAGCCCTCCTCATGTCGCTCCCCTTGGCAAAGGGTGACAGCTGCATTGCCTCTTCCCCCACACCCCACCCCTCCCCCCCCCCTCCCCCAGGTGAAGCTGTCAGGGGCGGTGAGCAGCCAGTACCTCACAGCCCTCCTCATGTCGCTCCCCTTGGCCAAGGGCGACAGCGCCATTGAAATGATTGACAAGCTGGTGTCGGTGCCCTATGTGGAGATGACTCTCCGCCTCATGGAGAGGTTTGGGGTGGATGTGCAGACCGAGGGGAATTGGGAGCGGTTCCTGATTCCCGGCAACCAGACCTACATGTGAGTGCGAGCGTGTGTGTGTGAGGAAGGAGGAGGGAATGAGATGGTAGTCAAGCAGCTGGGGAGATGGTAGACAAGCTGGTGTGTGTCGGTGCCCTATGTGGAGATGACTCTCCGCCTCATGGAGCGATTCGGGGTGGATGTGCAGACCGAGGGCAACTGGGAGCGGTTCCTGATTCCCGGCAACCAGGCGTACATGTGAGTGCGGGCGGGCTTGGGTGTATGTGAGAGAGGGAGGGAGATGGGTGAAGGGTGAGATGGTAGACAAGTTGGTGTCTGTGCCCTACGTGGAGATGACTCTCCGCCTCATGGAGAGGTTCGGGGTGGATGTGCAGACCGAGGGGAACTAGGAGCGGTTCCTGATTCCAGGCAACCAGACCTACATGTGAGTGCGAGCGTGTGTGTGTGAGGAAGGAGGAGGGAATGAGATGGTAGTCAAGCAGCTGGGGAGATGGTAGACAAGCTGTGTGTGTCGGTGCCCTATGTGGAGATGACGCTCCGCCTCATGGAGCGATTCGAGGTGGATGTGCAGACCGAGGGGAACTAGGAGCGGTTCCTGATTCCAGGCAACTAGACCTACATGTGAGTGCGGTTGGGAGTGTTAGAGAAAGAGGGAGAGCGGTGAAACTGGGAACAAGCTGGTGTCGGTGCCCTATGTGGAGATGACGCTTTGCCTCATGGAGAGGTTTGGGGTGGATGTGCAGACCGAGGGCAACTGGGAGCGGTTCCTGATTCCCGGCAACCAGACGTACATGTGAGTGCGGGGTTGGGCGCATGTGAGGGACGGAGTGTGGGTAAGGGGTGAGATGATCGACAAGCTGGTGTGTGTCGGTGCCCTATGTGGAGATGACGCTTTGCCTCATGGAGAGGTTTGGCGTGCATGTGCAGACCGAGGGGAACTGGGAGCGGTTCCTGATTCCCGGCAACCAGACGTACATGTGAGTGCGAGCGTGTGTGTGTGGGAGGAAGGAGGAGGGAATGAGATGGTAGTCAAGCAGCTGGGGAGATGGTAGACAAGCTGGTGTGTGTCGGTGCCCTATGTGGAGATGACGCTCCGCCTCATGGAGAGGTTCGGGGTGCATGTGCAGACCGAGAGGAACTGGGAGCGGTTCCTCATCCCCGGCAACCAGACCTACATGTGAGTGCGAGCGTGTGTGTGTGGGAGGAAGGAGGAGGGAATGAGATGGTAGACAAGCTGGTGAGACTGGCGACAAGCTGGTGTCGGTGCCCTATGTGGAGATGAGAGAGGGAGGGAGAGGTGTGAGAGTGGGTAGTTGGGAACAAGCTGGTGTCGGTGCCCTACGTGGAAATGACTCTCCGCCTCATGGAGAGGTTTGGGGTGCATGTTGAGACGGAGGGCAACTGGGAGCGGTTTGGCATCTCAGGGAACCAGACGTATGGAGAGGTTAGGCGTGCACGTTGAGACCGAGGGCAACTTCCCTCCTTTGTGGAGGGAGGTGCGTCCAGTGCCAGCTACTTCCCTCTCCTCTCTTACCTGTGCCCCACATCCCCTGCAACTCTCTCCCTGCTGTCTTCCCCACTTCCCGACTTCCCCACTTCCCCGCTTCCCCGCTTCCCCTACTTACCAGCTCCCCCGGGCGTGCCTTTGTGGAGGGGGATGCGTCCAGTGCCAGCTACTTCCCTCCTTTGCTGCACCTGTGCCTCGCCCCTGCACATTCATCTCCCCTCCTCGCTCTCCCTCCTCTCCAGCTCCCCCGGGCGTGCCTTTGTGGAGGGAGATGCGTCCAGTGCAAGCTACTTCCCTCCTTTGCTGCACCTGTGCCTCGCCCCTGCACATTCATCTCCCCTCCTCGCTCTCCCTCCTCTCCAGCTCCCCCGGGCGTGCCTTTGTGGAGGGGGATGCGTCCAGTGCAAGCTACTTCCCTCCTTTGCTGCACCTGTGCCTCGCCCCTGCACATTCATCTCCCCTCCTCGCTCTCCCTCCTCTCCAGCTCCCCCGGGCGTGCCTTTGTGGAGGGGGATGCGTCCAGTGCAAGCTACTTCCCTCCTTTGCTGCACCTGTGCCTCGCCCCTGCACATTCATCTCCCCTCCTCGCTCTCCCTCCTCTCCAGCTCCCCCGGGCGTGCCTTTGTGGAGGGGGATGCGTCCAGTGCAAGCTACTTCCCTCCTTTGCTGCACCTGTGCCTCGCCCCTGCACATTCATCTCCCCTCCTCGCTCTCCCTCCTCTCCAGCTCCCCCGGGCGTGCCTTTGTGGAGGGGGATGCGTCCAGTGCAAGCTACTTCCCTCCTTTGCTGCACCTGTGCCTCGCCCCTGCACATTCATCTCCCCTCCTCGCTCTCCCTCCTCTCCAGCTCCCCCGGGCGTGCCTTTGTGGAGGGGGATGCGTCCAGTGCAAGCTACTTCCCTCCTTTGCTGCACCTGTGCCTCGCCCCTGCACATTCATCTCCCCTCCTCGCTCTCCCTCCTCTCCAGCTCCCCCGGGCGTGCCTTTGTGGAGGGGGATGCGTCCAGTGCAAGCTACTTCCCTCCTTTGCTGCACCTGTGCCTCGCCCCTGCACATTCATCTCCCCTCCTCGCTCTCCCTCCTCTCCAGCTCCCCCGGGCGTGCCTTTGTGGAGGGAGATGCGTCCAGCGCAAGCTACTTCCTTGCTGGGGCGGCCATCACTGGAGGGACCGTCACGGTGCATGGGTGTGGCAGGAGCAGCCTGCAGGTGAGAGTGGTGGCTGTTCGTAGTTTGAAGAGCGGTTGTGGGTAGTCTGTCCTTGTTTGTGGAGGGGGATGCATCCAGTGCCAACTACTTCCTTGCTGGTGCGGCCATCACTGGAGGCACCGTCACTGTGCATGGGTGTGGCAGGAGCAGCCTGCAGGTGAGAAACGCGGATATGATTCATTTCGAGTTTATGGTTCATGGTTTAGGGTTTGTGGAGGGGGATGCGTCCAGTGCAAGCTATTTCCTTGCTGGGGCGGCCATCACCGGGGGGACTGTCACGGTGCATGGGTGCGGGCGCAGCAGCCTGCAGTCAAGGGTGGTGATGATGAGATGGGCTTCTGAGCTGCATTCACCTAAACCCTAAACCACGGGCTTCTGAGCTGTATTTGGAGTTTTAGTAGTGAAAGTGTGGCTATCATTGGCGGCAATGTCACTGCGCATGGGCGTGGGTGTGGGCGCAGCAGACTGGAGGTATGGCTGATTTTAAATTATTCAATCTTCTGTAGCAGTATGTGATAATAGTATTTTCCAGTGATGTCAGAGGCGTGTGAAAGAGCAGCCATCCCTGGAGGCACTGCCAGAGCATAGCACAGCATAGGAAGAAACATACTCCTGTAGCACTTTGAGACCGTAGTATGTTTTTCTTTGATGTCAGAGGTGCGTGAAAGAGCAGCCATCCCTGGAGGCACTGCCAGAGCATAGCACAGCATAGGAAGAAACATACTCCTGTAGCACCTTGGGACCGTAGTATGTTTTTCTTTGATGTCAGAGGTGCGTGAAAGAGCAGCCATCCCTGGAGGCACTGCCAGAGCATAGCACAGCATAGGAAGAAACATACTCCTGTAGCACTTTGAGACCGTAGTATGTTTTTCTGTAATGTCAGAGGTGTGTGAAAGAGCAGCCATCCCTGGAGGCACTGCCAGAGCATAGCACAGCATAGGAAGAAACATACTCCTGTAGCACTTTGAGACCGTAGTATGTTTTTCTGTAATGTCAGAGGTGTGTGAAAGAGCAGCCATCCCTGGAGGCACTGTCAGAGCATAGCAGCATCGCATAGCAAGTACAGCCTTGTTGTACTGTAGCGGAAAAAATCTCCTGTAGCACTTTGAGACCGTAGTATGTTTTTCTGTGATTTCAGAGGCGTGTGAAAGAGCAGCCATCCCTGGAGGCACTGTCAAAGCAACCACCCTTCCTTCCTTTCCCCCTCCTACACCCACCCTTCTTTCCTTCCCTCCTTCCTCCGCTTCCACGTCTGTACTCGTTACAGGGTGATGTGCACTTCGCTTCAGTGCTCGAGCAGATGGGTGCTACAGTAACGTGGGCGGAGGAGAGTGTGACTGTAACGGGGCCTCCTCCGGCAGCCAATGGGAGCATCCGACGGCTCAAGGGCATCGATGTGAACATGAACAAGATGCCAGATGTCGCAATGACATTGGCTGTTGTGGCTCTCTTTGCCGAAGGCCCCACCGCCATCCGCGATGGTGAGTGGGTCTCATTTCATTTATATCACATCGCACATGAGCAAGGTATGGCCTTTCAGACGTCGAAAGGGATTCTGAGGCCCCTCAAAAGGTGTGGCATGCGGTTTTGAAGACATGTGGCTGGCTGTCACGGCTCCCCCTAGCATTGGGCAATAGGATTGGACTGATTGTGAACTTGCATTCATACCTGTTTTTCTTTCGTTTCCCTCCCCTCATTGCTCGCTCATCCCGCCTTCCCTGTCTACTCTTTCCCTCTCACCTCACCTCCCCACCACCCACCGCCGTCCCCCGCCCCTTCCACTTGTCCATGCAGTCGGAGCATGGCGTGTGAAGGAGACAGCGAATCATTCCCACCCCAACTTTCCTCTTTCCCTTCCCATCTTGTCACTTCCTCTCCCGTCTATCTCTGCAGGGGGAACAAGGCGTGTGAAGGAGACAGCGAATCATTCCCACCCCAACTTTCCTCTTTCCCTTCCCATCTTGTCACTTCCTCTCCCGTCTATCTCTGCAGGGGGAACATGGCGTGTGAAGGAGACAGCGAATCATTCCCACCCCAACTTTCCTCTTTCCCTACCCATCTTGTCACTTCCTCTCCCGTCTATCTCTGCAGTGGGAACAAGGCGTGTGAAGGAGACAGAGCGGATGATCAGCATCCCATTTTTCCTCTTCTTCTTCCCCGTCTTGTCACGCACCCCCTGATGATTCCTGCCCTTCACCTCCCTTCTCTTTCACTTCCTCCCCCGTCTATCTCTGCAGTGGGAACAAGGTGTGTGAAGGAGACAGAGCGGATCATCGCCATCCCATTTTTCCTCTTCTTCCCCGTCTTGTCACGCACCCCCTGATGATTCCTGCCCTTCACCTCCCTTCTCTTTCACTTCCTCCCCCGTCTATCTCTGCAGTGGGAACAAGGCGTGTGAAGGAGACAGAGCGGATGATCGCCATCCCATTTTTCCCCGTCTAGTTTCGCACCCCCTGATGATTCCCGCCCTTCACCTCCCTTCTCTTTCACTTCCTCCACTTGTCCATGCAGTGGGAACATGGCGTGTGAAGGAGACAGAGCGAATGATCGCCATCTGCACTGAACTGACCAAGGTGAGTAGCTCTGTGGCTTGAGCCTCTGCTGCTGGTGCCTCTGCTGTTTGTGCCTCTGTTGCTGGTGCCTCTGCTGTTTGTGCCTCTGTTGCTGGTGCCTCTGCTGTTTGAGCCTCTGCTGCTGGTGCCTCTGCTGCTTCTGCCTCTGCTGCTTCTGCCTCTGCTGCTTCTGCCTCTGCTGCTTCTGCCTCTGCTGCTTGTGCCTCTGGTGCTTCTGCCTCTGCTGCTTGTGCCTCTGGTGCTTCTGCCTCTGCTGCTTGTGCCTCTGGTGCTTCTGCCTCTGCTGCTTGTGCCTCTGGTGCTTCTGCCTCTGCTGCTTGTGCCTCTGCTGCTTCTGCCTCTGCTGCTTGTGCCTCTGATGCTTGTGCCTCTGATGCTTCTGCCTCTGATGCTTGTGCCTCTGATGCTTCTGCCACTGATGCTTCCGCCTCTGCTGCTTCTGCCTCTGCTGCTTCTGCCTCTGCTGCTTGTGCCTCTGCTGCTTCTGCCTCTGATGCTTCTGCCTCTGATGCTTCTGCCTCTGATGCTTCTGCCTCTGCTGCTTCTGCCTCTGCTGCTTCTGCCTCTGATGCTTCTGCCTCTGATGCTTGTGCCTCTGATGCTTCTGCCTATGCAGACCATGTGGAGGAGAGTGCAGAATACTGCATCTTCAGAAACTTGGTGCCCTTTAATACCGTTCCCCCTGGTTCTTCACTCTCCCTTTCCGGCAGTGGAGAGCGAATCCGGAGGGGTTCCCGGCCTACTGCATCATCTAATGCTGGTGCCCTAATCTTCCCCATGTGCTGTCTGTTCCTTTTCCCTTTCTCTCAGCTGGGAGCGCATGTGGAGGAGGGTCCGGACTACTGCATCATCACACCCCCGGAGCGTGTTCTCCCAGCGGAGATCGACACGTATGACGACCACCGCATGGCCATGTCCTTCGCCCTCGCCGCCTGCTCCGGAACGCCAGTCGTGATCCGGGACCCTGGATGCACGCGCAAGACCTTCCCCGATTATTTCGACGTGCTCAAGAGCGTTTCGCACTGAGACGAGTTGTGCTGCCGAAGCTCTCATTTCCCTGTTGTGCTTAGGGGCTTGTTACGGACTGGTGGAAGCTGTTGTGGGATATACTTGCACTGAAGCATGTCAGATTGGGTTAGTGGATTCTCAGTATTGGTATATTTCTTGAATGCCTTTTCAGATACGTTGAGACTGAATCCGTGCATTGCAGAAATACCCGATAATGTAAACGTCCCTCAGATCTGGGTCCGATCTCGGACTCCACGAAGCTGCCAGTCGTGCTGGTTATTGGGTGTGAGGAGAGGAGCTTGTCGTTCGTCGACGGGAATCATCGGACGGCTGTCTGATACACACATGTCCAGTTTCCAAGGATCTTGGCCCACACTTCAGGAGTTGTGGTAGCTTTCTCATGTTCCGGTAAATCACACCTCAAGGCGTGTTTGTTTTGGAAACTCGGCTCGAAATCGGGAAAAATATCTCCTTACCTGCGATTCCACGAATTCTGTCATCGCCAGAAGGCCTGGCAGGGACGGCTCACGAAACTCGCAGCTAGTTGCTGCTATCTTGTCCCATGTCTGGTATGTGTCAAATATCACGCCTCGTAGATCAAGATTCGGGTTACAGGAGCGCTGGGTTATGTGCAAATGAACCTGAAAAACGAAATACCCCCTACGTTTGGCCACTCTTGCTGATGATGCGCCTTAAACTCACGTATCACGGTTTTGTTCGGTGTTGTGCGTTACACAGTGACAAAAAGCAATGTTTGTGGTTTATAGTGCGAAACCTAGCTGAACCGCATTCGACAAACGAGAACCCAACGTTTCAGCGGTTCAGCTGTTGATAGCCATTCCATTTCTATGTCTGTTGGGTGTTCCCGCAAGCCTTTCACCCAGCTCCTTCATTTCCCTTCAGTGGCTCTGCGCTGACTGCAGCAGACAGATCCGTCCTTTCATCAAAACAAACAGAAGTTGCTTGTGATCCATTTGGGAAGCCGTTTCGTAGCAATATATAGATCCGACCTCAAAGTCTTCGCATATTAGGCTTCGAATATCCGTGACGCATCGCTGGCTGTCCGCGTTACTCGTACGCTAGCTTCGCGTCGTTGTGACGTTGATAGACTTTTTGTGTAGTAGATCCTGAAAGCAGCTTTCCGGGCTAAGGTTCCGGCACCATGCTCTTCCTGCTCTCATGGCCTCTTCTGTAAGTTCGTAGCCATTATTTTTTGTCTTAGCAGCACGTTGAAGCCGGTCAGTTCTTATTCTTCAAGAGGTCTCTAACTCGTCGCGTGGATCTACTACACCTGTTTTCTGTCTTCCCGCTGTCCTGCTAGGATCGTACTCTGGTTAATTTCTCTCGTCATCCCCGGATCTCTGCTAGGGTATTTGTATCCACCATACGAATGTGTTTAGTACCCTGCATACTAACGCATATGCTAAACCTTCCTCCCGATTGCAGGTCTCTGCTGGGGTACCTGTATCCAGCATACGCAACGTACAAGACGGTAGAGCGACGGTCGTCAGAACCGGATGATTTCCGCTTCTGGTGCAAGTACTGGTGAGTTTGTGTTTTCGTTTTGAAATGTATCGCATCTATTTGTAAGGGAGTAGGTGTATGAACATGAATCATTGATGTATCTTTACTCTAATGAACGAGATGTACATTTTGCTTACTGGGCCTATTACTTGATGATTATTTCAGGGTGATTATGGCGGCATTTCACGTCTTGGAGAGCTGCCTTTTCTTTGGCCTTATCACCTGGTAAGTTCAATTGTAGCAAGGGCACGTGATTGTTGTGCTTCCAGTGAGTGTTAACAGTCTGAAGCCGGTGCTATGCCCGTCCGAATAATCGTTCTTATAGGGATTCCTGCTTTTCGTAGCTATCTGCGTGAATCTTTCCTTTTAGCATATCGTATTCTGAATATCTGCGTCTGTCGTTTTCCTTTTCCCAGGCTTCCCTTCTATGACGTCTTCAAGGTCCTCTTCTGCGTTTACCTCTGGCATCCGCGAACTCAGGTACGATTCCTCCTTTCCATTCCCTTCTCCTCAATCGCGTCGCTGTCATGGGTTGTCGGCGCTGCGTGCTCCGCTGTTCTTCACGGTTTGTCCGCCCTGTACCGTTATGTGGGTTACATTGCGTCCTGTTACTGTCCCTTTTGTCTGTCATGATGTGTTGTTGTCGAATGCTTGTCGTGTTTTTTTGGGATTCCTGGTCTCTCCCTCTTATTCAGATCCGTCCTCCCCTCTCCTGTCCGTACGTTCACTCAGGGCACACTGCTGATCTACCACCGTGCCATCGTGCCTGCTTTGTCGCGCCACGAGCAAGAGATTGACCGCAGGATCGCGGAGGTGCAGACACGTGGCATGGATCTGGCCGTTGAGTACTCTCGCATTCTCGCGTCTAAGATCATGTCTCTCGCCAAGGCGGGCGCTGAGGCCGCCCCTAAAGTCTACGAACGTTACCAGGTGAGCTAACGTTAGCAAGCGAGCGGAACGTTACCAGGTGAGCTAACGTTAGCAAGCGAGCGGAACGTTATTAGGTGAAGAAAGAACGTTCTCTCGCATCCTCGCATCCTCGCGTCTAAGATCATGTCTCTCGCCAAGGCGGGCGCTGAGGCCGCCCCTAAAGTCTACGAACGTTACCAGGTGAGTGAACGTTAGCAAGTGAGCGAACCGTTGGCAGGTGAGTGAACGCTATTAGGTGAATGGAAAACGTGCTTCGCCGCATCCTCGCATCCTCGCGTCTAAGATCATGTCTCTCGCCAAGGCGGGCGCTGAGGCTGCCCCTAAAGTCTACGAACGTTACCAGGTGAGCTAACGTTAGCAAGCGAGCGGAACGTTTCCAGGCGAGTGAAACGTTAGCAAGTGAGTGACTGGTAGCAAGTGAGCGAACCGCTGGCTGGTGAGTGAATGGTAGCAAATGGGCAGAACGACGCTGGTGAAGGAACGTTTTGTGGTGAACGGGAAACGTGATTGGGTGAGCGAAAAGTCAACAGTTGGCTGAAACGTCGCACAGATAAATCTGGGTGATGTACTAACGCGTACAGATAAAGGATGGAAATTACAGATGACTGACTGCAGGTGACTGTTGTTCAAACTTAGTCACTTATCATCACCTGCATTCTCAGCTCACAGCACCACTCCTGATCCGTGTGACGTTATCGCGAGGTGATTTTTCTGTCAACTCAGAAGTCATTCGATGACAAGTAACTGACTGTAGTTGCATCACTGTTCAAGTGGGTAAAGGTGAATATACGTCCACATGGTGTATGTGTGCTTGACGAAAAGTGGGTGGACTAGATGCCTCGGCGACCTTAAAAGTGACACGTATCTAGTCAAAAGTTGGCTACAGTTTTCCAGGGGTCGTTTAAACAGACGTTGCTGTAGTCTGCTGATTCGATCAGAGCACTGTTTGTCGAGCCTTCATGTGCACAACATACGAACAGCTGTTTTTCTTGCGCCTCTGTCCTCCACAGCCCCCCTCACCCACCATCATAGTACGATGCCTAAGTCAAGGAAGCATGAATTCACGTCGCTTTGTTGCCTTCCACCATTCGTGACCCCTGGATTGCTAGTTTTCTTTTTAAAAAGCCTTTCTGGTTGTCCTCGCCCAATTGGTTTCCCTGACACCAAAGTAGTTTCATGCTGCAACAAGAAGCTGCTTCTTAGCCTGGAAATTCTGCCCTTCACTTCCCTCTCCCTCTTGCTGTGCTGCCATTTCCATCTTGCTCTCGCGAGTTACTCATTTTGATTCTTTCACCATCTGCAGGCATTATGACTTTCAGCAGTAAAAGCCATTCCCCTCATGGAAATTACTCCATCCGCAAGCCACTCCCTTCAAAGGAATCACTCCCCAGCAGCAAGCGCCTACCAGCAAGCTAGGAGCTTCTGCCCCATCCACAGGTTCCATTTCCTTCGCTTTTTCATGCCTGTTCCCCTATGTTTATGCCCAGCCCGCAGCTCCACAACATCGACCTTCTCGTTTCTATCTGGAGAGCTGGGAGGAGAAGTGGTGTGCACAGTAGATCCAGTTGACCAAATGGCTGAAATGTTGTTGCCTAGATGAGTTTTTTCCCATCCTTTCCATCCCTCATCCCCTGCAGCAGCATGCTGCCGCTCAGCCTGCTGCTTCCACAGCATCGACCTCCTCTTATTCCCCTGGGGAGCTGGGCGAGAAGATAACGGGATTGGGTGATCCAGTGGACTATGACACTGGCATTCGGGCTCGCAAGCCAACTTCTGCTACTGGGATGGACTAGCTGATAGTAGTAATGAAAATTTATGGCGGTGCGACTAAGTGGATAAGTGTGGACTTCTGAAGAGGGGTGCATGGCTCGTGTGCACCCATTAGTGCATGGCTAATGTGCATTGATAGGGCATTGTGGACTGTCGAACTTTGCAGCTGATGTTGAATCCTCATTCTAGCATAGAGTGTTACCGTAGTTGGTGCAAGCTAGCTACCCTATCTGTACAGCCAGAGATGGTGGACGAAGCAGTATGTCCTTAGGACGCGTTGAAAGTGCAAATATCGCAGGATCGTCTGCATATAACGATCCCCACAATCGAGTGGGCAGGTCGTTTGGCGAAACGTGGCGACCGCGGCGTTGTAACGATCGCGGCTGAAAATTGACAGATTTCCCGCGAACAGTGATCAGTCGCATTCTCACACTGTACAGAAATTTTGGCCAGAAAGCGTACTGTAGCATGGTTACAGCTAAGTTAATAGGGTAACCGATCCGCACATCGATCGCGACTGACGATCGGTCGTCTACTTTCACCGCGTCCTTAGGGCTGGTCCTACACCTCGTATCAAGCGAACCTCATATCATGCTCACACTGAAAATTCCCCTAAACCCAAAATCCTTCGCTAGTTTTACCAGGCAAGTCTGATACGGTATGAGGTCGTATCCCAGTCAAGTGTCAAGTTACTGTTGGTGTCAAGCGTGTAATGCGGTTGACACCAACTGGAGCCGCGTGTGAGCGCGGCTCCAGCCTGGTGTCAATGTTGGGCACATTGGGAGACTTCCCGCGATCACATTGGTCGGTTTCGCTGACACCGGGAGGGATAGTCCTCCATGTGTTTTCCGAGTTGGTGTCATGACACTAGCCCATCTTGACACTTTGACTGGGATACGACCTGAGGTTGCCTGATATGAGGCGTAGGAACACGCGGCTGATCTCAACCGATTTACAGAGATGTTTAGATGTTTGTGATTATCAACGCGTAACTTGTCCGTCTTGCGAATTGCCCTGAGATTTTCGTCGCTTCCCCCGAGGAATCGTTGTCTCCAGATCATCGAAGAACTCGTGACAGGTTTTCAAGGTAACCAGCTTGTTCAAACGGGCTATCTGAAACCGCTGAGGGGAAATTTGCGAAAGTCTCCGACGTTAAATTTTAGCGGCTATGCGAACTCCAGCGAAAATATCATACTCTCGGCAAAACCTTGATCTTGGATCTGCTGGGGTTTCGTGCTGAGCTGATCCATCTGCTTTCTCCTGTTGTTACAGTTGATAGCACGATATCTGGCTCTTTGCCAGTAACTTGGCGGCTAGATCTGGTAGGGAGCAGTCATAAGAGGGGAGACACAGCGGAGCAGCTAGGCAGCTGCTAACATTTGGCGCCTTCCTGAGCTTGTTTTCTCGCCGCTGCCATGTAGTGAGTAATTTCTCCTTTGCTTTGTCGGAGCAATACTCCCTGCAGGCATGCATATCACCAGAGCTTTATTATTTTCATCGTGTTCCAAAATCTGGTTTTGCATGTCCAAAATCGTACTCAGTGCCATAGTTTACCATGGTGTCGTGCAATTTGTGGTTCCTTTGAAAAGTTCGGCTATGTTGCGTGTAGTCCAGCAGAGAGGCATGAGATTCTCTTGAATGTTATGGTACTGATTGCTGTCGAGATGCTTTTGTCTGTTGGTTATTGGGGAGCAACTGTGACCTCTTGCTTTGTATGAAATTGTTGCTGTGACCTCTTGCTTTGTATGAAATTGTTGCTGTGACCTCTTGCTTTGTATGAAATTGTTGCTGTGACTTCTTGCTTTGTATGAAATTGTTGCTGTGACCTCTTGCTTCGTATGAAATTGTTGCTGTGACCTCTTGCTTTGTATGAAATTGTTGCTGTGTTCAGTCGGTCCGGCAGCTCACGCTATGGAGGCGGAGGCGATTACAGGGGAGGTGGAGGTGACTATAGGGGAGGGGACTACAGGGGAGGTGGAGGCGGGTACCAGACGACCGCTCGGCTTTACGTCGGTCGTCTCTCCACGCGGACTCGCACTCGAGATCTCGAGTCTCTTTTTGGGAAATACGGAAGGTAAGTTCGCTTTCAAATATGATTTAGTATAGGATGGAAGATGGTGTTTTGAAGTACCTTGTATTTTTATTGAAAAAATGGTTCCGATGAGGCCGTTGACCCTAAAAGTCGTCGAACCATAAGGTCATTGACCGGGGATTATCTATTGTGCTAACCTCCCTTGCACATTTCATGCTGAAGGTCGTTGACCCATACGGACGTTGACCGCTAACCTCCCTTGCACATCCTTCACTCATGCTTAAGGTCGTTGACTCCCTTCTCTCCTATCCACATCCACGACCCGCCTGCTTTCCGTTATTCGCTCGTCCGGGGTGCGTTATCGGGTTTTCGGCTGGCGGTCGGGTCGGTACTGTAGCTTCTGGTGAAATGCGCATCGGTTGCTAATCGAATCGGGTGAATCGCCGGGTGAAACGCGAATCGGTTGAAATTCACGCCGGGTGAAGCGCGCGTGGGTCGCTTCACGGTGCATGTCTCGCGAGGTCTTGGTGCCGGCGTTTCCCTCACTGGCGTTTCCCTCGCTCGCTTTCCCGGGTGCTTCACGGTCGTCGTGGTTGGGATCGGTTTTCGGTGTTTCGCGTTGCAACATCGTTTCCGCTCTTGCTGACGTGGCCTGCCACGATTCGCTGCGAACATGATCTGGAAGCATTCGCGGACGAAAATCGCGGAGATGCTTTTCGCTTGCCACGCGCGGGGCTGATCGCCGTCGTTTGCGCTTGGTGGGCGGTTTCGCGTGTTCCCGCGGGCGTCCGGGCTCTTGCGATCTTGCGCCTTTGCGGGGACGCGTAGCGCTTATCGAGTCGATGCGTGTTACCGGGGATGTCGCTCGCGCGCGGGGTAAAGCGCGGTTTCGCGGGGTAACGCGCGGTTTCGCGGGGTTGCGCGTGCCTGTTGGTTCGGACGGTTCTCAACGCAGCTTCGTGGGACTTGTTCGACTCTTCAGTGCGGTATGGTGCGGTTTGGTGCGGTTTCGGTGCCTGCTTTAGTCTCTGGTGTAGTATGGGGAGTTTGCTGGTGGGTTGGTGTGTTTGGACTGTCCAGATGTTTCCCTCCCCTCAGCAGATGAAGCGTCTTCACGCCTTTAGGACTAGCCCTTTCAGTTGAGCTAGATTTGTTGCTTTCTATTGCTTCTCGCCTGCTCTGCCGCCATGGTAAACCCTCTCTCGCTCCCCCTTCTTCCCCTCCCCCTCCCCCCCTCTTGTTTGCTTCGTGCGTGATCGCTTCCGTCCTTGTTTTCTTCCCGGTCTCTCTGGCGTGCAGGATTCGTGACGTGGACATGAAGCGAGACTATGCATTCATTGTGCGTAAAACGTTTGGATAGGACGCAGTACTTTGATATTTGCGGTATTTTTATTATGCCTTTCCAGTCACCACGTTGTTTGTTTTTCTCCAAATCTCGTCAATTTCTCTTGCGCTGCATCCCCCTCTGCACACCTCTACCCGCGCCCTCCGCCCTCAGTTTGCCTCACCTCCCTCTCCTCCCTTCCTCTCTGCTCTCAGCTTGCCTCACCTCCCTCTCCTCCCTTCATCTCCGCTCTCAGTTTGCCTCTCCTCCCTCTCCTCAATTTCTCCGACCTCTTTGTGCCTCCCCTCCCTCTCTTCCCGTCCTCAATACGTGCCCTCCGTGGTTATTGTCGGCTTTCTGCACCCCACTTCATTAATGGTTCGTATGAATTCTTACTATTGCTGCTAATTCCTTTTTCCACACTCTTCTTCTCCGCGTTTTGCTGGTTCTCTTTCGTACAGGAGTTTAGCGACAACAGGGACGCGGAAGACGCGGCGCACTATCTGAACGGCAAGGACGTGGATGGCAGTCACATCGTCGTGGAGTTCACGCGCAGGGTACGTTGCATTTTGTAATGTATACACATGTATATCAAATACACGAATTTATCATGTATATACATGTGTATACTTATATGTAGATATGTATCGTGCTTGAAGATTCATTCGCATGGTACGTGGACGGCAGCCTCATTATATATGATGGGCAGGGCTTCGGGGGTCCGCCTGGGGGGGGTCCGCCTGGGGGGGGTCCGCCTGGGGGGGGGATGGGCGTCACGCAGGGGCGCTGCTACAACTGCGGCAAGGATGGCCACTGGGCGCGCGACTGCCCACTGCGCCCCTTCTCTCCCCTCCTTCCCAACCGTCCGTTCTTGCCAACCCGTCCCTCCCTACCTCCAACACCCACCCCCCCTCCCCCCCCAACCCCTCTCCTCCCTGCCCGTTTCCTCTCTGCCAGGCTCCGCGCGGGCAGGGCTTCGGGGGTCCGCCTGGGGGGGGACCGCGCATGGGGGGGGGGATGGGCGGAGTCACGCAGGGGCGCTGCTACAACTGCGGCAAGGACGGCCACTGGGCGCGCGACTGCCGCAACGGTGACTGGGGCGGCAAGTGCTACCGGTGCGGCGAGCGCGGGCACATTGAGAGGGACTGCCGGAACAGCCCGGCGCAGAGGTGAGAGTGCTGAGATGTTTTTCGGAGCGGTGTTTGGGTGAAGAATGTAGAGGTGTTTGGTACAGTAGGACGGCCACTGGGCGCGTGTCTTCCGCAATGGGGATTGGGGCGGCAAGTGCTACTGAGAGGGACTGCAGGAACAGCCTGGCTCAGAGGTGCGTTTACATGCCTTTGGGTGTGTTGTGCTCTCAGTTGATAGAGCTGTGAGTGACTGGTTAAGTTAGCTCCTGGTTAGCAATTGTTACCATTGTGGTGAGTGTGAGCATTTTGAGAGGTACAACAGGAACATCCTTGCTGGGAGGTGAGCTTTTTTCTCCCTGCCTTTTGACTGGTGCCTCCTCTTGGTTTGCCCACTCAATCAATGGCTCTCCCGAAATTTGTTCCGTTGAACCCGGTGCAGGTAGTGGTATTTTTGAGAATTCTCAGAAACACTCAACGGTTATCTCTCTGATTGCTCTCTGTCGTGTGAACCCGGTGCAGGTATCGGTCTCGCAGCCG